TGTCGCGGCAGGGGAAGCGCGACGGCCTCGCAGCAGGGGAAGCGCGACGGCCTCGCGGCAGGGGAAGCGCGACAGTGTCGCGGCAGGGGGAAGCGCGATGACGTCGCGGCAGGTGAAGCGTGACAGTGTCCCAGTGACAGTAGACGATACTTCAAAAAAAATTATAATAAAAATATAGGGTAGGTCAACTGTGGGGTAGGTCAACCTTTTTTGTTAATATTTATAACACTATTATTTATAGTCCCATATTTTTATTCAAATATTTATATTTATATTTTTATTAATAAATATATTGGTATGTCAACTGTGAGGTAGGTCGAATGAACAGCCCCGCATTATTGTGCTGATGCTCTGGCAGCATGTGAAAGAGGAGAGTTCAAAGGAACGAAACTGTCAGACAGGCCACAGCAATCTTGTGTTGATAGGTCAGCTTTTATTGACCGCCTCTCAGAATGTATGACAGCCAGGCTTTCCGAAAGTGGGGTAGACCCAACGCCTGAAGACGTTCCAATCTCTCTTTGAGAAACTGTAAACCTTGCAGATTTCACCTATATCCGCGTATCCCTTTTTCGATCGATAAAACAACACACTAGGTGAAATCTGCAAGGTTTACAGTTTCTCAAAGAGAGATTGGAACGTCTTCAGGCGTTGGGTCTACCCCACTTTCGGAAAGCCTGGCTGTCATACATTCTGAGAGGCGGTCAATAAAAGCTGACCTATCAACACAAGATTGCTGTGGCCTGTCTGACAGTTTCGTTCCTTTGAACTCTCCTCTTTCACATGCTGCCAGAGCATCAGCACAATAATGCCGGGCCGCCCGGGAGTTTCCCGCGTCGCCCTGCGTCGCCCCAGCTGGCCCCGCACCCTGGGAAACCCCGACAATGGCACTTTTCGGCTGGTCCGCCGGGCAAATATCGCCATTTCAGCGAGGTTATACGCGTATACCTGCGTATGACCTCCAAAAAATTATAGGTTATACGATACCCTTGATTTCATTTATAGGTCATACGGCGTATGACCGCGTATACCCTAAACGGCACCACTGCACAGAAACGCTACACTAGAGCCCTGCGGCCTCTAGAGCGCCTGCGACACTGGCGTAGGCAAGCCCGCAACGCTCGCGGTCGCGGCGCGTTGCCTACCCTGGGCGCCTGGCTGGAGCGCCTGCGACACTGACATAGGCAAGGCCACAACGCACGGCCGACCGCCGAGTTGCGAACCTCTCAGAGGCTCTCGCTGCCATGGCGGGGCTCTCGTCGGGGCCGAGATCCACTCTGCGCGGCGGCGGCGTATCCCTATGGAAATGACGGCCACGCCTCCGGGCGTTCAGGAGACTCCACAGCCCTGGGACGCACAGTGGGCCAGAATAGCGGTGCAAGCGGCCAAAACTCAAGATGCGTTTTGAGCTCCAGAGTCCCTGAATACGACTGGAACCGAACGTGTGACCCCACCAATATCGATTCTTCGTTCGGAGAGCAATCCATTGGTGGGGTCACACGCTCGGTTCGAGACCCATTTAGCGACTCTGGAGGTCAAAACGCGTCTAGAGTTTTGGCCGCCAGCGCCACTTTTCTAGCCCACCGTGGGACGTCAGCCTGGAGACTCCGGTACACTGGCAGGGCGGCAGGGCGTCCTTGCAAGGCTTGCCCACCAGGCTTGCCTTGATTTAGGGGTGTGTCTCAGTGCAGCAGCAGACTGATTCCGAGCAATGCTCTCGTCGGTCTGTCTCTCTCGCACCCGTACGGGCATATTGTGGGTGCTTGCCGTTGCCGCTTGCGCCGCTTGCCGCGCACCTCTGCGGTGATGCCATCAACCTGCGATGCGCGAAGCACCGCGGCGACCATGCGATCAGTGCAGTGCTGTGCCAGTCACATTTAATTAATATTAAAAATCGTTTTAAAACCAGGATTTTAAACACGCTCCTTCCCTATGTTCGTAGCCGGAGCCGAAACATGCGCCGCCGGAGGCAAACAACTCGTTCGTCCACGATGTCCCTGTGCTGCAGCCAAACAGTCCTTCTCGACGTGCGGAGCGCTCGTGCGCGCCCTCTTTGCGCGCTGCGCGCCGCCGGAGAGATTCCCTGCATCGTGGGCTTATCCTCCACGGACGCGGTCTCCATGGGCTAGTCCATCTCCTACGACAAGCGGGCCGGGCCTCCAGAGGGAACGCGTCATAGGCGAGCTCATTGTTGCCGGAAAAGTACGCCGAGATCGAAAGTGTGCAGCCGGGCAATGTCACAATGCAAGTGTGCCGTCTCGCGCTGATCACGTAGGACGCAAAGAAGTGGGCCACCAAGGCACGGTCCTCACGGGGGGAAGTGGGGAGGGGAAGGGGAATTGATCTACTGGGCAGTGACGGAGAGGTTGGAAAATACAGCGACATTTAATCACGCATTGATCGGTCATTCGGCCTCCGTAGGGGGCGCGCGCGCTTAGCTTGAGGCTCGGCCGCTGTGTCGGTGGGGGTCTCCACCCACTCCTCAGCGTCGGCCAGCGTGCTGAAGCGCTGTCGAAGTGCATCGCGTCGCAGGGCGACGTCGCGGAGGCCCTGCACGAAGAATGGGATAAGGAGATGGGTTTGCAGATTGGCGCGACCCGCTGCTGCCTGAAGTCGCAGCCGGAAGGAGCGCGTGGTCTCCGTCCGGCCCTGTGTACATGAGCGGACGGACGCGGCGATCGTGTGCCACGACGGGCGCCGCCCGAAAGCGTCCATGAAGGCGTCGTCCAGTTCTGCGAACGATTGACGCCGCTCCTCAGGCAGCGTCGTGAAGAACGTTCGCGCAGCGCCGCTCAGGCAGGAAGCACGGGCGATGGCCGCCGTGGTGGCGTCCTGCTCTCCTAGCACAATGGTGGCTTGCGCCCGAAGCTCGGCGTAGTCCCAACTACCTTCATAAGGTAAAAAATCAATTGTGGGTCACATTTTTGAAAATTCCAAATTGAGGCCTCTAGTTCTGACCTGGTGACAAAAGTGCATGTGCGGCCTTTAACTATGGTCCTTGGACTGTTTTGCATCATAGTAGCCCCGTCTATCATCCTTATTTACTAAGCTGTGGCTGTTTTAAAAATAGTCTGTTTTGGCCCACAATTGATTTTTGGAACCAGTTGTGGGTCAGCGTTGTAGGAAGATCAAATTTGGATATGCTTTGCTTAAATACGTGAGGAATTCACTTTTGAATTTATTTTTCGGAATCCTGAAAACTGCAGAATCTGTAGCACAATGAATCAATTGTGGGTCATATCAATTGTGGGTCATTTCGTCTTTTTGCTTGTAAATTGACCACTTTTGCAAGATATTTCCTTATTTTCATTAATGAAAGGTCCCTGGTTCTCAATAAACCAAGCACGCCCGTTTTTCACTCAACGAGGAAAATTACTTAAACAGGCTAATTTCACTGTGAGACAGATGTGAGTTAAACGTCCTGGAACGTCCTGGACACCAAACTTCTATAGCACTTGCAAGGCCGCCGGTGAGGTAGCAGCTGGAGAAAGGCCACCTTCCGGGCGCTATGTAAGCCCCGCAATGCCCCCCCCCCTCCCCAACAAAAAAAGCCTTTTGGCAGACTGGAAGTAAGAGCTAGCGTTGTCATTCAGGGCTGAAGCCTAAGCTTAACATAACCTTCGCATCGTAGTACTAAATGTGACAGAGCAGAAAAATGGACTCTACTGTGATACATCAGTCATTCAGAAGCGCAGAAAACAAATAAAATATCAGAAAACTACCGTAAAATTCGTCTAAAATACTGGGTCTGACTTGGTAGCGAACGCTACTTTGCCATCACCCGCGCACCATGGCATCGAATAATTTCGACTGTATAATGGTAAATTTATGTTCCCTGACCTATTATGAACCTAAATCAGCAAGGGCGTCCCGTTTCACCTCGTAATAGCTTCACGGTGGCAATTTGAAAAACACACGATTTTTCGTCTCGTTGGATGGGCGCCATTTTCACAACTTTTGGAAGGGCCTTCCTTTGAAGCCTCATAGGAGCCGTTACAGACGTCGCTCGGACATACACGCTATTTGGGGAGACAAAGAAAGGTTGGAGGAAGGTCTGCCGCGAAGTTCAAATCGATTCAGTCTCCGTCGTGTCTGCGGTGACCCGTCGAAAAAAATGACCCACAATTGATTCGTGACCCACAATTGATTTTTTACCTTACTGCGGGAGGCGAGGGACGGGACCGCGCGACGGGCCGGCCACTCCGCCGTGGTGGCGAGCCGCGGGCTGCACGGCTGGAGCATTCGGCGCCGGCTGGACCGGGGCGGCCAGTGGCGCGGCGCGCGGCGGGGCGGGGGGCGGCAAGTTGGCACGGCATGCCCCTGCGGCGGCCTGTGCTTGGGCCAGGGCGGCCTCGACCTCGCGACGCAGCTCCGTGAGCCGCTGCATTACGACGGCCTCCAGTGCAGCCTGGTCCTGCATGGCTACGACGGGAACCTGCGGGTCAGGTAAAGCGACGGCAGCAGGCGGCGTCTGGGGGCGCAGCACTGGGGGCGTCGCTGGACGACGGGGCTGCTGGGCGGCGGGCGGCCTGACGGTGGACGGCCCGACGGCGACGACTGGCTCAGTGACGGCGGACGCTCCGGTCGGCACAGCAGCGGGGGCAGTCGTCACGGGTGCGTCTGCGGTCTGCCCTGGTTGTCGCCGGGTTGCCCTCGTACCAACAATCGGTACCCGCGAGAGGGGGTGAGAGAAGGGGGGGGGGGTTATAATTGCACTTGCTCGAATGGCTTTAGCTGTCCCCGAGGGACCGTCGTGAAATCCCCTCACTAGTGCCCTCATGCCGAGGAACGGCGAGATAATTTGATGGCCCCGCGCTAAAGGCCCGTTGAGACCTAACAGCGCTGATGATGATGGTCTTACTTGTAGTGTGTGAAGTGCGTGGTTCGTAGGCGGCTGGAAAAAGTAAACGCGCGGCGGACGCCTGCAGCATGACTGCAGTCGAACTTGAACCAGATGCCTGTCTCTTTGTCTACCAACTCACGTGCTTGTTTTTGTCATGCAGGAAGGAATGCCAGGAGGGTGGCCGTGACCAAGGAGTAGGTTCACTCCACCTTGACCAACTGCAGGCCGCCGAAATAAAGGACCTGGGAGAGGACATCGCGGAGAGCAGCTGACCCAACTGAGCAGCGCGTCCGGGAGATCCTAACTGAAGCCGAGCTGGCCGACCGCCGGTCTTCGCAGTTTCTATGGCACCTGAAGGCCCTTCGCGGGACGTCTTTTCCAGTCCAACCTACTCCTCCCCCAGCTGTGGCTTCGTCGCTCGCCCGTCCAAGCGCAGGACACCATGGCCGTGCAGAGGTGTGTGCTCTTGGGCAAGCTCGCCGAGCTGGTTGACAAGGTCGACAAGGTGACCCGGCCACGCGGCCCGTGGAGTGGCTTCACTGGTAAAACTAAAGCGTAGTATTACCCTCTGCTTTCAAGCGTAATCAGTTTACGCTTGAAATCAAGCGTAACAGGCTCTCTGCCAACATGTCGCCTATCTTAGTGCATGGGTGAATTTCTAGTCTAAGCTTCATTTCAAGCGTAACGCCTTCAAGCGTAACTTTGTGCTTGACTCAAGCATAGAGTTACGCTTTGGTTTTACCAGTGTTCTGGCCGCTCTCGCCCTGTTCAAGGAGTCGCGGTCGCGGTCTAAGTCGCGGTCGGAGTCTGCGCCGTGATTTCACCTGGCGTTTCGCCATTGCCGACGTCAGCCTGCCAATCCTAAGCTCAGATTTCCTGGCGCACTTCCACCATGTGCCGGACCACCGTGAGCATCGCCTCCTGGAGTTAACGACCGGCCTGAGCACGCCACCGCGCTCTTGCCCGCCGCGCCCTCGTTCGCGGACGCCGTCATGGACACCACACTCCCGGCCCCGCCGTCGACGCCGAGCTCCAGGCCCTGCTCGTGGACCCCTCATCATTTTCCCTGAGCATGTTTGCCGATTTTGCGATTGCCCCAACAGCTCGCAGCGCCCGGACGACCGTCATCGGTCGGGCAACCGCACTGGTAACCGGCACCAATGGCCGCCGTTCGGAAAACGACAAATAGCCGCGTCGACGGGCGCCACACCGGTTACCATCGCCTCCACCGCCCCCCCCCCACGCAGCACCTCAACGCGGCCCTGCGGCGCCCGGCCCCGGAACGCCCCTCCGTGTCACGTGGTTCGCTGACGAGCTCCTCGACGCCCGGAAGTGCCACTTCCTGCTGGACACCGGCTCCGAGTTTACGGTAGTACGGCATGGCCTGTTGCCCCCGTGCCTGCCCCCAGCATGCAGGTGCAGGGCGCGTTCGAGAAGGGCCCTTCCGCCGCGCTCCGCGGCCCCCGCTGCGTCTCTACCGCTGTGTGACGGCTGTCGTCACGGGCGTCGAACTGGCCGTCACCTGCTTCGAGGGCGCCATTTACGAGCAGTGCCTTCTCGGGGGCGACTTCTTGGTCGCTCACGTGGCCAATCTAGACGCCGATGGGGAACGCCTGCTGCTGCGCGACGGCCGCGTCGTCCCACCGCACGGTGCTGCCGCCTCGCTCCAGCGCCACCGTCTACGTGTCGGCCAGTGGTGGAGACTTGCTTGAAGTACCCGCTGCCGACGGCTACCCTCAACTGCCGCGGGCGCCTCCCAACCCCTTGGCCGACGGTGGCGGCCGTGTCCTGGTGGTGACCGTGTGCAGCGACGCCGACCGGCCGCTGACGCTCCGCCGCGGTACCCACATCGGCAACCTGCACGTGTCGGCACTACTCCCGGCCCACATCCGCGCGATAATGGCTGAGGACGCCGGCGCTACCCCGGCTGCGGAACTCCCCGCACCCCTGCTGGCCCTGCTGGACTCCTGCACCGCCGCTCTCTCCGAGGGCGGTGAGATCGGGCACTGCACACTCGTCGAGCACGACATCGACACCGTAGATTCGGTACCCATGAAGCAGGCACCGAGGCGGCTTGGCTTCCACCAGCAACAGACGGCGGACAACAGCATCCGAGAGATGACGGAGCAGGACGTCATGGAGCAGTCGCACTCGCCCTGGGCCTCGCTGATTGCCACGCCGCGGGACAAGACGCAGATCCGCAGGTTTGTCTGCCTTGCGCAGTAGCAAGCCCGGTTTGTGACCAACTTCGCCGGCATCGCCGCGCCATCCACGCGATGCTCTCGCAGGACGTGCCCTTCACCTGGATAACCGAGGCGCCTGGTGGACGCTGACACACCGACGGCCGTGGACTTCCGTGCGGCCCAGGTCGCGGACCCGGACATCGGCCCCATCCTGCGCGCCGTGGAGGACGGCATTCACTGGGAATCCGGAAATGTGGCGTCACGTTCGTTTGAATTTTCTGTCACATTCATTTGAATTTTCTGTCTCATTCGTTTGAATGTGAATCCAGCCTCGTCCAGGCCCGGAACCAGCCGATTCGCCTTCAAACGAATGTGACACAGTATTGAAACGAGCGTGACACGATTCACGTTTAAACGAACGTGACGTCACATTCCTGGATTCCCAGTGTTCGGCCCAGCAAAGAGTCGGTCAGTAACGCCGGTGTACCCACGAAGGCCCTGTGGTTACAGTGGCAGTCGCTGGAGCTCCGCGACAACCTGCTGTGGCGCCGCTTCGTGGACGACCGAGACCGCGTCACCCACCAGCTCGTCCCCGCTGTACTCCGCACGCTGCACGACGCCCCTGGCACCGGCGGCCACCTTGACCACGACAAGACGATCGCCAAGGTGCGGGCCCACTTCTACTGGCCAGCCCTCTACCAGGAGGTCAAGCTGTGGTGCCTGTCCTGTCCTGCGCGTTGTGCCGCGTCAAGAAGGGTCCTCCCCGCCGCACCCGGGCCGTCACTACAGGACGTATGTGAATAACTCCAGGCCAAAGTGGACCGAAATCTATTTGGTTCTGGTTCAAACTTTGTGGGTTCAAAGGGTACCACTAGGACCTATCATCCCTGAAAGGAAAGTTGACTAGCTCAATCAACACCAGAGATATTGACAATTTTCTAAATTTGACAAATTTAGCGGAAAAATGTCGCTTTCTGCATTTATGATAGTAAAAACTGTTTGCACATTCCTGTCTTGTGTTTCTTCTTTCTAGTCATATTAAAGAGAGTGAAAATGACTAGAGACAATTGTAAGTACTTTGCTTTGTCTGGCGTACACGAGCAATTTTTTCCAAAAGTATCGCAACTGTTATCCCCAAAGTACTCCACCTTGGATTTGACCCAAATATGTCTCATTTCACTCCTTTTATTTGCTCGTGTAGGCCAAACCAAGCAAAGCACACAAAATTGTATCTAGTCATTTTTACTCTCTTTAATATGACTAGAAAGAAGAAACACAAGACAGGAATGTGCAAACAGTTTTTACTATCAAAAATGCACAAAGCGACATTTTTCCGCTAAATTTGTCAAATTTAGAAAATTGTCAATATCTCTGGTGTTGATTAAGTTAGCCAACTTTCCATTCAGGGTTGATAGGTCCTAGTGGTACCCTTTGAACTGGTCCCGTTTCCTCTCGCCCTCCGCGGAAAGGGCCCGCTTGCCTCCAAGGAGCGGTGCGACGTGCGCGCCAAGCGCCCGTCCTTCGCCGTCGGGGACTCCGTGTGGCTCTACGACCCAAGCGTCGTATGGGCCTCAACCCCAAACTACAGTGCTGGTGGTCCGGACCGTACCGGATCGTCGAGTAACGTTTGCCCGTTCTGTGTGTTGCAGCATCCTGGCCGTCGAGGCGGACGTGCCCTAGCTCGCCATCAAGTCCGGCAGCTCGGCCCAAAGCGCTCTCCTAGCGCTTCGCCGTCCTGGGCACCATGCTCTACTTGAGCACCACCGGCGACGTGCACTACGACATCGACGACGAGCACATACGTTCTGTAGTGACGGTGCGAAACAATTCTCGGCGCAGCGTGGCGAGCAACTGTTACACCGAGCCGACTTACCAGGGCGACCCCACCCCTCATCCACTCGAACAGCTCTGAGTATTGGGTGTCGAGCGCGGATACGGCATTTTTACGCTGCAGTGAGTTACGTTAGTATTATCGTTTGCATGGCACCTGCAGTGCATTCCCATCACAATTGCCGTCACAAGATCCCATCTTCCCTTCCCCTTTCACACGCACACACATTCATTCATTCACTCACTCACTCACTCATTCTTTCGCTCACATACTGCCAACATACCTGTATGCTGACACTGGGTGTAATGGTCCACCATTGAGCTCCTCCACCTGGAAATAGTTGTACACATTCACTATGTCCTGCTGCCTTTGGCTGTTAAAAGATCTCCCTCTATTGTTCGTATAGCCCTGGGTGGAGATGGGCTTGTTCACTCGCGCAGCCTTTTTGCGATGAAGCACGTTTCTTCGAGCCCTTAGCCCCATTATGACACTCCAGTCACTCACTAAGCACTCACTAATCACTCGACGTCAACTCCCTTTCCCTTCACTTCACTTCACCTCACTTCAGTTCACTTCACTTCACCTCACTTCAGTTCACTTCACTTCACCTCACTTCACTTCAGTTCACTTCTCTATATACGCTCACTTCTCACTCTTTCTTAATCAATTGCTGTGTCAAATGGACCAACAAGCAACAACTGGCTGGAAGGGCGTGCCAACATTACACTTTTGCAATTAACGTTGATTCCGTATCGTAAACGGCTAGAGATAGAAAAGTTATGCATAAGGATGACTCCATCTAAAATTTAATTTAAGATGGGTTCATCCCCATGTATAACTTTTCTATCTCTAGCCGTTTACAAGATACAGAATTAACGTTAATTGCAAAAGCGTAATGTTTGTACGCCCTGCAAGTGACGTCCTACCAAATTTCCTGCCCCCTCCCCTCCCCCCGCCCCTCCTCCTCTTTTCTTCTTCTCTCTCCAATCGCGGTCCTTATCCAGAGCTCGAGTTGTGTTGATCAGTAAAATTGATGCAATCAATTGACGTGTTCCAGGGGCATTGCTGCTACAATTTCTACGAGACTGTCTTCACGGCGGTACCGAACTGCGTGTTCCATCGGCTCCATCTTCAACGAGTACAACAATCTGGACGTGGAGATACGTGAGAGCTGCCTTCCCCCAGGACGCCCCTTCAAGATAAAAGCCGTGTTCGTCACTTGTCAGTTCTTCACCGAAGCATTTGCCACATGCCACGCACCCACCCACCGAACTACTACAGTATGGGATGCCAACGCCGCCCCCCGCTGTATGATTTCAGAAGTTTTCCCCTGTCTGCGACTACTTGGACCGCGCGGTGTGACATTCCCCGGGCAGACAAGTGTTGCTGCGCGGCAGTATAGGCAAATCTTTGAGACAGTATGCAGTCAGAATGTAATTGTTTTCAAATCACTTACTTCCCAGCTCATGACTTTATCATGTCTGTTATGTATCTATTTTAACATGTATGGATTCCAAGAGTTCTTTTCTAAAGTTCTGTTTGGGACTGTCAGGAGGTGTGTAATGCTAGCTAATGTATAGTAAGCAAGAAATGATCAGGTATCCTGTAAACTGCACAAACTAATGTTTGATTTCATTTTTTACTTTATCAAAAACCATGGAACAGTAATAATAACAAATATTTACAATACAACTGATATAACAAAACGTATCATGAAATGATGAATGCAGATGCAAAGCAGCAGCAACGAAATGGCTCAGTAGAAATGTCTGTCTAGAGGAGTGGGTCTTCTAGTAGATGGTTTTAAAGGGGGTAGCAAAAAAAAATTCTTTTAGGTGAAACTTCAAAAATGTTCAATAAAAATTTTACTTAAAAGAATTTTTTTTTCCAAAATGGATCCAGATATCGAATATCCCCTCCATAGGTGCTCAGGCAATACTATTTACTTCCTTCAGAAATTATTTTACCCCAATCAACAACTAAACCGTCTCCCCAAAAAATTACGCACATCAAAATAACTTGGTTTGTTCCTGAACATTCTTGGTCTATCTGTTATCTCTTTTATCTCATTTGGTAAACCTTTCAACAGAAGCGTTCCAATTTAGGAAGGATTAAGTTTAGCGAACCTGCCTCTAATTGCTATGTGATAGTAATTGTCCTCATTCCTGGTATTTTAATCATGCACATCACTGTTTAATGGGTTAGCAGTTTTATCGACTATGTACTAGATTGCTTGCATAATATACAGGCCAGGCTGAGTCAGTAGATCATTCTCCTTGAAGGCTGATCTACATGACTCACCATATGGACTATTTTAGTGCTATTCTCAGAGCTAATTTCTGCAGTCTAAACAATCTCATTTTGGAACCTTGGCTGGCAGAACCTCAAAGAAGCAGTCTATAACTTAAGTGGCTAAGAACAAGACATGGATCCCAAGGAATTTTGTATTATGTGCTTTTTCAACTACTTCTAGAGTGACACTAATGTTCAAGGCATCATCCTCTTTTTTGATTGAGAAGCACATATAGTTTGTCTTAGAAACGTTACTTACTAAATTGATTTCATTAAGAAAATCTGTTACTTTTTGAGCTATGGCTTCCATTTGCACATTCAGGCTTTTAGAATGACACTTTTTTTTCTCTTGAATAGATAAGACGATATCCAGGCACTTGCAATTCCTCTTATACCATCGTGATTTAACAGTACTATAAGTTTCTTGTGGTCTACACAATCAAATGCTCTAGACATGTCCAGGAACAAGCCTGCTATCTCGTCTTTTCTGTTTATGGCATTTGTTATTGTTTATAAGGCCAGGGCTTACAGCATCGCTACTAGATTTACTTTTCAGGAACCCAAATTGCTCACTACCTATTATGCAATTTTTATTGAGGAATTTTGTAAGAAGCCTTATGTAGAAAGCTGTTTCAAAGACTTAAGCAATCAGCGATAGTGGTCTATAATTATCAGGCATTGTTTTCTCCCCTTTTTTATAAATTGGCATAAGTTTGCTTTCTTTAAGTTTTGTTGGAAAAGTATCCTTCACAAATGACAGATTAATTAGATGAGCAAGTGGGTGTGCAACCTCATTTGCTATTTGTTGTAGGACGTTTGCAGATATTTTGTCCAGACCAATAGATTTTTTGTTTTTAACTGCACTATGATGGCAGTCACCTCCTCTGCTGTTACTAGTTCAAGATAAATTGTACAAGGATTTTGCTTGGAAATATTGTGGAATAGATTGGAATGTTAATAGTTTCATCACCAATTTTCACGTGATTTGACATCTTGATTCTTTCCTCCTTTGCGTAAAGGTATTTAACTATCTAACCATTTCTGGCCATGATATGTATGCTGCAGGTTGTGGGTGATGGGTAAACTGTTCCTGGCGATGGCCTGGTCTTGATAAGACAGGCTTGGTGGGTTCGATTCCCACTGACGGCCTCCTCTGCTCACAGCCTTCAGCAAACTATCAATCACTTAAAATCTAAAGTCGGTGCCCGTAGTTCATGAACGAGCCTCTACTCCGTTGTCTTACTTGACTATTACAAAACTCTCATGTCGAAATCATTTCTGTAAACACGATCCAAATGCAAGTTGAGCATCACAATCGATCAAATAAATAAATTCTCAACTATTCTTGTATTTAGTGTTTGTTTGTGCCTGCCTATCCTATCCTATCATCTTTTGCATCCTCTCACTATTCGCCACAGTCATATTATTCTGTGCTAAAATGAATGATGAAGGTGAATGCTGTGATTTATTGGAAAACAGGTCAATTCCAACATTTTCTTTATTTTCTAAAGTCAAGTAACATTTCAGTATTCCAGAGGTGATTCAATGTACACTACAGAGTTTCGACAAGGTGGTTTGATTATCACAATTTAAGAATAGAAGCTAAACAATATTGAGATTAAGATCTAAACAAGACCTCTAGTAATAACTGTTTAATGAATGGGCGTTGTCTGTATTCTTCACTTTCACTCACGTTCTATGGATGACAAGCTGATGAGCCCTTTTCCGAAATCACTTCAGAGCAAGAATCATAGCCAAGGCACGAGTATCGCTGGAGCAACTGTTTTCTTCAACGAATCAAGATTACCCTTAGGCAAATATTGATCACAACGCATACAAGAATGGAGCAGTAGAGAACATTTCAATTTTACAATCATTAGGGTTTTTTTAAAATCTTGAATAGTTCAGAAGTCCAAAGGTTTAGAATTATAATTGAAAAAGATATGAACTATTTTGCCACATAACTACAAACATAATTGTCAGTCATCCCTGGGATAAGTCAGGATCTTAAACGAAGGACATCTGTGTTTACCTTCGTCAACCACATCAACATGCAGTTTCTGTTTACTACGGTTTACTATAGCATTTTGCAAACAAACAACAACAAGAAAGGGGCCGTGGGGGCAGGACGGGGACGATACTTTGCCTTTCTTTTTGCCAAGTTGGCATTGCTTTCACAGCTCAACTTTTCCGAGAGGGCTGTGCCTTTCCCCTCTAGCTCTGGTCCAAATGGGCAGGTAGTGGGGGCGAAAGGCGCTGGAGGGACAGGAGGGGAAAGCGGCCACAGCCACGCCGAGGTTCATTCGGCCCCGTAAACTTTCGGTAGAACGACTATAACCCTGCGAAATCTCAGCCAGATCGGCCGAGCTGTTCAGGAGGAGTAGTGTACACACACAGACAGACAAAACTTTTCAACCGCACTGGAGTAACAGGCTTCGCTATCGCTCAGCCAACTAACAATTGTTACTCTCTTTTCTAGGTTTGGAAAAATCTCAGTCAATGGAAACATCCCAGTTAATAGCTGGAAGCAGTGTCTCTCCTTCTAGGTTTGGAAAAATCTCAGTCAATGGAAACATCCCAGTTAATAGCTGGAAGCAGTGTCTCTCCATCTGCTGCTGGTCAAGGTTCTCTTGACAATAACAACGTATCACCTGATGCAAGTTTACTTGGCAGTAATATACCAGTATCTACAAAGGCATTTGGAAAGAACTGATGAAACATCTTACCATATCTGATCTTGCTGCAACATGATTGGCTGAGCGGTAGCGAAGCCCGTTACTCCAGTGCGGTTGAAAAGTTTTGTCTGTCTGTCTGTGTGTGTGTCTGTGTGTGTGTGTTTGTGTGTACACTACTCCTGAACGGCTCGGCTGATCTGGCTGAGATTTTGCAGGCTTATAAGGTATGTTCTTGGCTCGGCACACGCGAAATTTCACTATCCTAGCTCAACTGGTTCAGTTTTTATAGCCGAAAAACACCTAAAAAACGGCAAAAAATCGAGTTGTCTGCAGGTAGATCACCTCTGTCTTTTAGAAAGGGGGGTCTGGGGGGCGGAGCCCCCCAGCCCCGACAAGTTAAAAAGCGACAAGGGTCAAGATCGTGTTGTCTGTAGATGAAGCAACTCTAACCAGAATTAAGGGGGGTCTGGGGGGCCAGCATGCAACAGACCGACGATGGACAAGCCAATGCCTGCCGAAGGCAGGCTAGCGCCGCAGGCCAAGGTAGGTACGCCAGGCGCGGATTGGAGGAACAGGCCGCGAGACATCGCGAAGCCTGTTACGACAAGACGCGGTCTGGCGTAAACCTACCTTGTATAGACACATACAGGGAGATTCATCATCTTGCCCATCACCTCTTGCATATTCACAAGAGAATTCTCAGTTACCCAAGTTCAAATCCAGGGTGTGGAAATCACAAGCACATAAGCACATTCATCTCCACCATGATAAGTACAAGTGCAGGAAGGGCCTTCTTCGCGATTCCTTCTCCACTTGATGGATCGACTGTCTTTCATGTACGGCCCCCGCTCTGTAGGCATCTTAATTCAGGTGTCTCAGAGTGAGCATGGCTTGCGGGCCGCATAGAGAGAGAGAGAAAGGCAAAGAGGAGAGATAGGAGATGAAATGAGTGAGGCGGCGAAGGTGTGACACGCCGGACTCGACCCAGCCGCACGGCAGCGGCGACGGCGGCGACTTAGGCTCTAGGCGCTACCTCCGCCGCACGGGCTGACTGTCTGTCCTTGTTCCTCCCATATTCCTCCTATGTTCGTGCCGCACGGTGGCCTAAGACTGATTCTGATGGTTCCTTTGCTGTCCTAACTTCAGGAGACTTCTGACAAGTGCGCGTACGCCGCCATTTCCGGCATGATCGAAGCCACGCTGCACGAGCCCTACGCCAACGCCAACAGCGACCGCCGCAAGACCGTTCGCTTTGTCAGCCAATGCCTCAGGAGCGCCTCAGTGAACGAAGCGCGCCTCACTGTAAAGTCCGAGGGGTGGCCGACTTCGATGTTCCTCGTACATCGGTCAAATGTTCCGAAAAATGTTCCCTGATGTTCCCAATGTTCTCATGTTCCCAGTATTTCTCGATGTTCCCAAATGTTCCAAAATGTTCCTTAATGTTCCAAAATGTTCCTTGTGTTCCTCTGGTTTATTATATCTTTTTTAGCCTGTCCCGTGTCAGGATGGTCGGATGCACACTCTCATTCGTAGTGCGAGACATCCGGTTGAAACTATGTCACGGTCGTTTGAGCATTGAGTCACATTCGTTTGGATGTGAATCGGCCAAAAATTACCTTGTTCACATCCAAACGAATGTGACAATGCCACATTTTGTCACGTTCGTTTCAACGTGATGTCACGTACTTGGAACGAGAGTGCATGGTGTGTGTGTGTGTGTGTGTGTGTTTGCGCGCGCGCGTACGTACGTAAAAGGGGGAAGGGGGGAATTGCCGCCGTCCGATCTACTCCAAATTTGGTGTTTGGACGACCAAATGAACTACCCTGAGTCGGCTTTTTCGATCCGAGGCCCAGGGGCACTGCTGCAGGTCCGTCATGGTCTACGGGGCAAAGTAGGATCCCCTTACAAAGCTAGAATAGCAAAAGAGGGGTGTTTTTGGAAACAGGGCAAGGTCAATCGGTCCATTTTGAGTCAATCGAAGAAGTTTGGACCCAGGTTCGACTTTAGGTGTGGTCAGACTATCCGACACTCAGATTTGCAGTTTGGCTTAGAAGACAGAATTCGATAGCGATATCAAGTAGAATCTATTCTTTGCATTGCATTCGACAGCAATGGAGGTACTCTGGAGATGTTCCCTTAATATTCTCAGATGTTCCCAGATGTTCCTTGATGTTCCCGAATGTTCCCAAATGTTCCAACATATTTCCAGATAATTCCAAATGTTCCCCGATGTTCCTGATGATTCCGATGTTCCCTCTATTCCGAGATGTTCCGAAATGTTCCCAAAATTGGAACATGTTCCAACATGTTCCGTCCGGAACATGTTTCTCATACAGAAATTTCTGGAGTCGGCCACCCCTCGGTAAAGTCCGAGCCTACATCAGCCCCTGATGTACAGAAACCGAAGTACGATGAACGTTCTTCTCGAGATGTTGGGGCAGTTCAAGTGCTCCTCCATGTAGCACCTTCGTACTTGGGGTATGCCATGTACCGTACATGTCATTTACTTAACATCCCTGCACCGGACAGGGGTTGCGCTCCGCGGGCTGCGGCCCGCCGCGGACGGAGTGGGGGACGTCCCCCGTCCTCCCCGCGCCCCGCCGCCACCGACGGCCAATGAGGACCTCGCGCGGACAGCCGTTCAAATAAACCGCCTTGGTTAGGTTGGCAGCATTCTAGTCTTGTTAAGTTGGCCACTCTTACCGACTGTCTTCTGTCTGTCTTTCTGTCTGTTGCGCGCGCTCTCGGCGCTCTTGTCTTTGTTTATATTTTCCTTTAGCTCAAACTTTGTTGTGTATCTGTGCCTGGTCACGAGAATAATAGATGGAAGTGCAACACAGTTTAAACTCCAGTGATCTCTTCAACACGGAATAAAGAGGTTAGTAATATTTCTACTTTCTAACGGCGGCCGGGCGCTGCGGCCCGTAACTTAGCAAGGTCCGCCCTGAAAGCGAACTTTTGTTTTTGCCGATAACCTGTAGTTGTAAACTCGAAGAGTTTTCCGAGCCTTATCGTGTTCGGCACTCACACAGGGATATCTTAAGCTTCCGCAAGATTTTCCGATGAAAATTGCAAGTTTGGTAATACTTTGCCATACCACTTGTGAGGTTATGAACTCTTAGGTGCTAATCTCTTTTTCGCATGTTTCAGAGAAACTCGGCCTCCAATTCCAATTCCACTTCTTGTTAAAACTAAGGCGCATCAGCTACAGTACATTTTAATATGATTCCTCTGGGCTCTTATTTGTTCTCAAAGTCTGCAACGCAATATAATGTAAGTAGATATTATCTCATCACACCTTCGTTGGT